GGGGATTCCCGCGGACGAGGTCGTAAACGGAAGCCATACATAGCATTCATAGATGATCCATACACATGGATCTGCGGCTCGTCGACTGTTGCATTCTCTGAAAACACGGACATGTATTTCATCCTAACAAACCCTCCGGGTCGTGCTAAGGAATTCCCTATGCAGTCTTGTATGTCGGACACTTTCTCTTCCACCTCATAAAACAATTCTAAACGTGTGACCTGACATGCTCTCACAAAATCTGACCGCCCATCTACATCGAGGCAAGACAACTTGAATTTGTAATCCTGTTGTACCATGTCGTTCCGTGACACGAGTACAACTGCATCCACGAGTTTTCTACTTTTGTGTGAAGTAGCCACACATAGCACTATGGCGAAAGGACATCCGTAATCAGTCAACCACACACAACAATACGATATAGTTTGTGGAGAAGTCCCTGGGCAACGGAGTGGGTAGTGTTCCAAGAATGAACAATGACGAGCGCAGTCCACCAACTCTTGCTTCTGCGAACTTCCCCGAGTTCGTGGCGAAGATGTGATGTACTTGCAGTGGAGGCGACGTCTGAAGCTGGTACGGTAGCGGATCGGTTTACCCTTATCGTCCAGGGTCTTTCGCTGGAGGACACCATCAGGCAGTGCAATGAGGCTCCCGAACTCTAACATGTTGGCAAACTTGTAATCGCTTGCCCAAGGGCAGGCACGCTCCATCGCCTTCCAATCATTATCGTTCCATTCGTCGAGATGCCGGTTCATGTATGGGACGACGGTCATCCATGGGTCCTCGTCGAAGTCCTCCTCGGTTGCTCCGTCGATCCACGTTTGACCGTCATGATGCCGCACCGATCTCGCACAAGGTGAAAACGGTTTTGCTAACCGCATGTGTTTCTCGGGACTCAAGCGCATGTGCGTCTCGGGACTCATGCTGACGCTTGTCGAAGGTGCCGACGACATTACGCTCCCTACACATCAGGCACACACAAACGACATATACGGACGTGTAAACCGTCATAAATAAAGTTGGCGAATGATAAGTCTTCTGGTGTGGCCAACACTCAATCGTCACACCCCGTACTATATATCGACAAACTCCTCATTTAAGCAAAGTGTGAGTGAACTCTGACTTACGTGCGAGTGAACTCGCACTCGGATGTAGAGGCAGGTGCGCACACCATCAGAGTGATGATTAAATATGGACACTGGCTTGTCATTTGTATAATCCCGGATGAAAACGTCATCAAATCTTTGCATGGACGAATTCGCAACATAGATTCATGACATTCACTTAAGCGGATTGCTTGTGGTTCAGAGCACAAGTGTGAGTGAACTCGCAGTTAGATGGAGAGCTAGGTGGTCATACCACTGAAGTGGAATGCTCGGGGTGCACACAGTAAGTGCGAGTGAACTCGCACTTGGATGGAGATATAGATGGCCACACCATAAGCTCATGTGTGTAATGTATAAGAAAATCAGCGTGTCTTTTTTGTATACCCTGATGACATTATCGTTATTTTTTTTGCATGGACACGATACACAACATTCGTTCAGAACTTTCACTTTTATCGATGACAACAGGCCGGTGTGTACATGCATTCATTCAAAGTTCGAAGAGGCGACCCGAACGTAAGACACTGCGGCGCATCGACTGGAGCATCTTCCGCGAACATAGAAATATATTTCATGCGAACGAAACCGGTCCTTCCGGCCAGAGACCTCCATATAGCATTCCGATAGAGGACGCTTGAGCTTCAACCTCACGCCAAGCGTCCACATCGTCCACCTTACCCCCGATTACCAAATCCCATGTCCCTTCGTATTCTATTGTGACCAAACCGATAACGTCTCTCCCGAGGTGCAACTCATTTCTGGACACGTAGACCACAGCGTCAGTCAAGGTCCTACTCCGATTCGAACGCGCGATGCAAGGGACCCTAGATAAGAATAACTTTCCGAGAAGCAATCTAACGCAGCAGTAGGGAACTGCTCGAGGCGACAGCCCTGGAGAGCGCAACGGGTACTGATCGAGGAACTCGGAATGTCGTGCACAGGCAAGCAACTCGTGTTTCAGCAAGCGGGACCATGTGCGCGGCGAAGCAGTCACGACACTGCAGACCAACACATTTTGATGACGAGGAATATTCAGCTTTGCACTCAAGCAACGACACCGAACTGAACCCAGCAAAGCTCTAGGCACGGGAATGAAACTCCCAAACTCGCACATGCTAGTGAACTTGTAGTCGTCCGCCCACGGACACTCCCTGAGCATTATGTCTCATTCAAGCTCCTTTCACGAGTCCAGGGGAGCATCAGTGAACGGGGGGACCTTCATCCAAGGATCACACTCCATCTCGTCTCTTGTCGCACCGTCAATAATAGTGGAGTTTCCACTGCCGGAGACGCGCAGCGCGCATGGGGGGAAAGGGTATGCCATGCGCTCACGCCAATCACCCAGGATAATCAACTCCGACATGGCCATCGCGACCGGCAAATGCCCTGCAGGCCACAACAAAAACAAATTAAGCAAATGCTTTCACCTAGCTCACAAGGAAAGAAAATAACCATGCCCCCCAAGGACGTCCGTCGAAACTTCGATGACGGGCGTCTTGTTGAACACGACCACCACAGCACGGCCGCACTGCACCCAGCCGGGCGAGAGGCACATCAACGGGCATGGCAGGAGAGAGAGACACAGAGACAAAGAGAGAGAGAGAGAGAGAGACTCTGGTTGAACAACATTCGACAGAGAACCGTAAGGAAGTGTCAAACAACACTACATGTATGCCAGGCCGAGCACCCACGGGCATGCATACAAGCAACGGTTGAAATGACCACCTTCAAGAAGTGCCAAATAGTCGGCGGTCTCAGGTCTCTAGTGCTAAAAGCATTCTTAGGGGACCTTGCGGCAGAACTCCTTGGCGTTGCACTAGATGATCACCAAACAGTTTTGGATGTCGATCGTATGGACACATCATATGATGCTTACCAGCAAGCAGCGGCTGATTGCAGGACCTTTTATCCGGTGTGGATCTTTGAGAGCAGATTTGACGCAATCCACCGTTAGATCCATTCCGGCGAGGGGGACCTGCCATTCTGCCGTTATTTATTGTACTCATCACGTAGGAATCGACGACGTGAGGAACCGACAATGAACATTCTTAGGGGACTTTGCGACCGTGTTTGGAACTTATTGGCGTAGCACTATATGCTCACCAAGCAGTTCTGGATGTCGGTTATATCGACACATCATATGATGCCTTACAAGCAAACTGTGGTCGGATCCCGACCCCCATCCCCGGTGTGGATCTATGACAACTCGTTCACAAAGTGTGGTGAGTGAGTCCGCCTTAGACAGGCCAGAGACAATGCCTTCCTCCTTCGTGACCGTAGGGATTTCGATGAAAAGCACCGCAAACACCAACTAGATCAGGTCGCTCACCGTGCGGATTACGCTGACTGGAAACTTCGTTCCATTTTTAACCCCGTGGAATACCTCTGCCTTATAGTGGATGGAATGGATCAGAAAAAGACAACCATTCCTCACATCGGCATGTATTACTCCAAGGATCATCGACACGACATGATGATGAAAACGAACCTGACCACGGTCGTAGCTCACGGCAGGAAACCGTCCATTTATGTGTACACGTATTTGCCTTTCTATGCGCACGGTTCCGATGACACCATGACGTGCGTTATGCGGACTCTATGTGAGTTGCAGGCGTCAAGACAGAAATGGCCACGCCACCTCCGCATCCAGGCGGACAATTGCTGGAGGGAAAACAAAAACCAATACCTTATGTGTTTGACCTCTCTTCTGGTGAAATTCAGGATTTTCGAAGATGTCGAAGTGGGGTTCATGCTCGTTGGCCACACGCATACCGACATAGACGCGACTTTTAGTGTTTTCTCGAAAAAACTGAAGGACAATGATGCTTACACCATGAAGCAGTTGTTCTCGCTTATCGAGTCGTCGCACAAGATACCGCAGAAGTGCATTGAGCTCGATCACATTGCCGATTGGCGCCGGGTAGTGGATCGATACGTCGATAGAACCATCGTCGGCGTATCGAAACCGCACCTCTTCAAATTCTTCATGCATGACGACAGTCCCATCATGGTGTACAAGAAGTACTATACCGATGCGGAATGGATGCCGGAAGGCAGAGCAGTTCACTGGTTCCCGGTTGTCGATGGCCAGTATGCAGACCCTGCCTCCCCTCCACAGCTATGTGTTATTCCTCGTGTCGTTAAAGACGATTTTCGGATGGCTCGTGACAGTGTCCAAAAATTTGTGGACGTCCTTGAACAGCATAGACACATGTGGCAGACATATAGGAAGGAGGAGGTCGACAAGCGGGAGGATGCTTTGTCTTACTGGAAAGCCATCTTCGTCGAGGCGGACGACATGATCCAAAAGCAAAAGAAGAAGGAGACGGAAGAGGGTGAGGAAGAGGATGTCCTCGGGGCGAACGAGCCGGAGATCTACCCTCACACCTTCTGACCACAATCAGTCGAGACTGTGGAGGAAGTTCAAGAAGCCGACACTCCTTCGACAGATGCTTCGCTTATATATGTTGGACCGAGGGCGGGCCGTCCAAAAGTGGACTTCGACCCTCGGCGCCATATAAACCAAGGTGATTTTCTGATTGTTAGGCCGCCTGATGAGGAACTGTCTCAAGGTGTTCCGTTCTGGGTTGGCAGAGCACAGTCTGAGGTTGTGGACGACCGTTCCTCACTGCATTTCGGTTGTTTACGTATACAGTGGTGGGTGCCTACAGGTCACTCGTCCGATCTTCGCGAAAGGTACTCTGGCGCTTGGACGAAGAGGTGGAAACTTTTCACTTCGGACGAGGAACAATGGCAACGCGCCGAAACCGTGGCTTATTCTTGGAGAAGACCTTTTCGCAAAGGGACGAATGAGAGCAAATTCGTGACAGGCCTTGCAATACCGACATCCGTTTGCGAGAAAGCGCTTGTGGCCTTGGGGGACGACTGTCTTTCCGGTCCGTCCGACGTGCCCGTTTAGATAAATACGAACTGATTCGGATTTGGTAGCTGCGAACTCCGCTAAGATAATGACGAGACATGAACTGCGAACTAATTCCGGTTTCTTGTCCTGCAGGATGCATGACGATGCGAGAAAGCGCTTATGGCCTTGATGGACGACTGTCTTTCCGGTCCGTCTGACGTGCCCGTTTAGATAAATAAATCACCGCTGATTCGGATTTGGTAGCTACGAACTCCGCTAAGATAATGACGAGACGTGAACTGCGAACTAATTCCGGTTTCTTGTCCTGCAGAATGCATGATGACGACACACCATCGTTCGACGTTGTATATGAGACAACGTCCTACGAAACCTCATCGTACGCGAGCGAGTATTCCTTTTTGATCGAGAATGTGGACACGGATCTTATCATCATGAACAAATGCATTTGGGCACAACAAACACTCAGTCTTGACCAGGGTTGTCGAGCCCCGGCCCCGAGGCCCCGGCGGGGTTCCGGGGTTCCGGGGGTGGGCACCCCCAACCCCGGCTCCAGACCCCCCCGCAAAAAAA